AAGGGGGAAATGTTATCTTGAAGAGTCCTCCTATGAGAACTTGGCTGGGCCCCCACGAATAAATGCCTTATGTTAGAAATTGGAATATAGAAAAGCAGAAAAAAAACTCTATGACTTTTTCAAAGACCTTCAAAAAATTATGGAGAACAAAATCCTGTAAGACTTTCCTATTTTTTACTTCCTAAAATTCCTTACCATTCTTTTCTCCCATGTGACTAAAAACCCAAGTCCCAGTAAGACAGGTTAGTAAGAAACTAGAAAAACTCCCTGGCAAGTGGAATAAGAAAACTGAGACAAATGACCGAACAATCAGCTGGAATAGCTGAGCCATTAATAGTCAGCTGATAAATCATAAGACTGTCATCCCTAACCAAGGACACCTAGGAGCAGGTGGTTTAAATCACCTTAGAAAGGGAGAAAGATCACACACACACACACACAGACACACACACACACACACACACACACACACACACACACTAATCCATGATAGAGGTGAAACTAAGCAGAGAATAACCCTAAACTCCATTACACACTAATTTTATTTTTTTAACTTATTTCAAATAACTTTTTATTTATATTTTAAAACTGATTTGAGAGAGAGAGGAATGGGGACAGAGAGAGAAAGAGAGAGATGATAGAGACAGAGATAGAGATAGAAATACAGAGAGAGAAAGAGAAACTTAGTCAACTGCCTCCTGCACGTCCCTTTTGGGGGATGGAGCTGAAACCCAGACATGTGCCATAACTGGGAATCTACATGGTGACCTTTTGTTGCCTGGGATTATGCTCAACCAACTGAGCCTGGCATACAGGCTCATTTTTAATACATCAGCATACTAAAAGACACACCCAGAAATCTAACTATTCTGTTGAGATCCTCCCCTGGGATTTCTCCTAAAATTCCCACCGGTAGAAAACAGATAAAACCCACAGGACAAAGGACACCAGTGTGTGCTGTTCCTTGAGCAGGCCCGTACCCCCTTCCTCAGGTGTGTACTTTGCTTCTTCTATCCTAAGCTCTAAGGGTCGGATGAGACTTGCACCCAGGGGAGCAAGTGGTAGCAGCAACTCACCCGAGCTTACCTCCTGATCCTGTCTCCAGGGGTCCTTCCTTTGCCTCAGTCCGAAGCTTTAAGAAACTTTCTCTCACTTTCACTGAAGCTCATGTATTGAAATTTTTCCAGCACAAGTCAAGAACCTGGAGATGGAGAAAGGTCCTGGACCATGCCGGGGCAGGGCCAACCCTGGTGTGGAAGCAGCCCCACTTTCTCTTTTGCTTTCTGTTTGGAATTTTGACGAATTCCAAAAGTATTGAAAATTCATACCTAAACGGCATATTCTGAGACTTGGATGTGTCTGTGTGAGAGAGGGGTGGGATAAAGCAAATGAGTTATAAGGTGCTAATCTAATTGTTTAGAATGAAACTAGTATGATGCTACATTGGACCCAGCTCCACCATGGGATAAAACGCTGGACAGTGGCTTTGCTTTTAGCTCTGCTGAATCCCCAGGTGCATTTCTTCCAGGACTGGTTTAAGGGAAACGGGACTTTTGAAACCCAGAGATGTAATTCCACGCAAATAAAGCTCTCTACCACATCTCATCCTCCCACGAGGGCCTCTGGAAATTCTTACTCCAGTGGTACCCTCAAGAGCCCCTCTCTTACTAGTAAAGGAGGGCAATCCACACAATTCTCTGATAACATTTCCACTGGCTCAAGATAGAGTAAACTGAGCATAAATAAGAGTAGCTGCAACACACTGAAAAATGCCAAGTACATTTAAATGCTTGAGTCCACAATAATTAAAAAACACCAATAAATCTAATAAATCGCCTTTGAAGGATGCGAATAACTGCTTATTTTGCAAACTAGTACATAAAGATGAAGGAACCAAAATTCTGCCACTCTGAAGCTGCTTTTTAGGATATTGATTTTAAGCTGTTTAATAAGCTATTTAAATGAGATCACACCAGCTGGGGTGTGATCTCATTTAACTTTACCTCCACATGGACCCTATCTCCAAATACATTTTTGCATTGGCAATAAGGACTTCAACCTATAAATTTTGGGGGACACAAGCATTAAGTCCATAACACAGCATATATTTACATAATGTGAAAATAAAGGCTAATTTAAGCAATTTTTACCCTAGATGTTGATCTTATTTCAATTAAAGCTAAAAATTAAAAATAAGGATTGTGAGAAACAGCAACTTTTAAATTTGGATAAAGAGTCCTTTTAAGTCATGCTTCAAATCATCTCCACAATTTTAATCATTTCATAAAACAGTTTGCCTTCCAACAGCAACAGCCCGCATACAGTTATCCTATATAATAAAGAGGTAATATGCAAATTGACCATCACTCCAACACACGATGGCTGCCTCCATGTGGCCACAAGATGGCCTGCAGGGGAGGGCAGTTAGGGAAAACCAGGCCAGCAGGGGAGGGCAGTTGGGGGCGATCAGGCCTGCAGGGGAGGGAGGGCAGTTGGGGGCGATCAGGCCTGCAGGGGAGGGAGGGCAGTTGGGGGCGATCAGGCCTGCAGGGGAGGGAGGGCAGTTGGGGGCGATCAGGCCTGCAGGGGAGGACAGTTAGGGGAGACTGGGCTGGCAGGGGAGCAGTTAGGCGGTGATCAGGCTGGCAGGGGAGTAGTTAGGGGTGATCAGGTTGGCTGGCAGAAGCAGTTAGGGGCAATCAGACAGGCAGGCCTAAATGGGCAGTCGGACATCCCTCGAGGGGTCCCAGATTGGAGAGGGTGAAGGCTGGGCTGAGGGACATCCCCCCCCCCCCCAGTGCAAGAATTTCATGCACCGGGGCCTCTAGTAGTAAAATACTTTTTGTTCATACTACAGTGATTTGGAAATTGAGATAATTCTGACAGAAATGTTTACCTTCTAATCCTTTCTTGTGTGCACAAATCAATAGCAAAAAAGAATTTTACAGAAAATAGGAGCTGCAAATTAAACACCTCAGATCACAAACTATTTTCAATATCCTTCAAACACCTCAGAATCCTTTTCTGTAAAAATACTTGATACCATCATCCTTCCAAAAAAATATGCTGACTACACAAGTGAAATGCTAGAGCTTAAGAATACTAAGAAGAATAAGATGTGATCCAAGGACTCAAAACTAGCTAAGAGACATACTTATGCATATATAAATGATGTATCCTTTACATGTGACAGTGGGAGCTTACTGTGGCTGAAACAGTCAGGAAAAATCCTCAGAGGTTGGTCTTGAATCAGAATAGGACCTACACAAGTTAAAAGCAGGGGAGCCCTGGCTGGTGTAGCTTAGTTGGTTGAGCATCGTCCAGTGCACTGAGAGTCACTGGTTAGATTTTAGTGGGGGCACATATACCAGTTGTGGGCTGGATCCCCAGTAGAGGGCGTGCAAGAGGAAGCCAATTGATGTTTCTCTTAACGATGTTTCTCTTTCCTTCTCCCTTCCTTTCCCTCTAAAATCAATAAAAAAACATTTATTAAAAAAGAATGT